CCATTCTATGATTCTATGATTCTATGACTTTTACAGAGCATTGCAGGCTATTAGCTTGGGAGATTTTGGTGTCTGTCCAGTTGAACTACAAAACTGGTCTAGGCCAGGTCAGAACAAAAGCACATCAAGAGCAACCAGGTCAAGGCAGCTCTGTCAGGTTTTCAGAGGGAACAATGACTGGGGGAATTCCAGTTTGGAAGTGGAAGCTTATCTCAGATAGAGAAGACAACAAGGCATGCAAGAAATGTGAGAGAGTGCATTCTGAAAGCGTGATGAGGAGACAGAGGCAAGTGTCAATAAATAGTATTGTATTTGCACCAGGTTCAGCACAGTGCTGCTGGGGAGATGTTACTTCAAGCTCTGAAGCTACCTGGTTTGGTGCTAGCTCACTATCTTTGCACTGTATTTGTTCTGTCATGGATATACCCATCTTCCTCTTGTTACTCTAACTCACTGACACCACAAGAAGACTCCCAAATAAAGGTTTACTATCTGTTTGCTGATTGGCATCAGTAGATGCAACACCCATTGATGGAATCCTGTTTGCTTCTCTCAGACTTGGATTTGGTCCATGGGTATTTAATGGTTTGACTCTTACATCTTGTAAGACAAACTTCCTTGATTGCACGCCCTCATTATTGACCTTCCATCGGCAGTGAGCTTGATTTGGGTGTTTAAAGCAGGAAAATAGACAGAAACATGATGTTAAAAAGTGAAAAAAACCCCCCACCAACTGAGACATTAAACTATTATTGACAATTATTTCTTTATTTCAAATTCAATCTTATCCTTTTTCTTTGGCAAGTAGAAATATTGCCATTGGTACTGGTAAGACTGACCATTCAAGAAGGTAGTTCCTAGCAACAGTGAATAATTCACTTGACAGAAGACTTAAAATCAAAATGATTTGCCAATTTCTAGCAGATACTCTGTAAAGATCCAGTGAGTCATTTTGCTGAGTTATTAGCTTTTCTTATTGATGCTTTATAAAACTAAAAGAAATAATGGAATAGAAAAAGCTAGGTCAATCACGGGTTGCCTGTCCTAGAGAAATTGTGAACTGTAGCAGGTTTTCATTTAAACATGATGGAAGAGAGATGTCAGATTTATTAAGACTTCAAAGAAGTCAATTATTTGGGCAGGCTGTACTTGGCTCTGATGCTTAATGTGCCCCCATGTAATTCCCTGTGCTGGAAAGAGTCGGATAATTTTTGAAGTCCATAAAAATTGGACCTTGTTTGCCTATCACACATAGACTTGGATTTGCCTCTGAAATCTTCAAGTGCCCATCTCTTATGTTGTTTCTGTAGGGGATGTGGGTATTTAGTTCAGGAGTGCATTTTTACTAGAAATTTAAGATAGAAATTCTTAAAGTGCCAAGTTAGGAGTTGGTCCAGTCAAAGGTAAGAAGATGAATTTCTGCTTTCAGTCATGTTTTCCTGTGCAGACATGATAGTATTTGGGGTATGAAATCTGCATTTGGATAACTGAAAACAGGAGTAATTCTAGACAAATTCAGCCTTCAGCTATGTATGCTTTGAAAAAAGTGGGTTTTCACATCAAGATAATTATGTCAGTGGAAGATTCTACTTGAAACAGGCCATTTTATTGTGGTTTGAGACAAAAAACAATGTGTAGTTTAGATGGGGACTGCTTTATTGCTTTCCCTTCACAAGGATTTCACACTAATCTTACTAATGTCAGGTGAGCAATCTCTGTAGAAGAGCCCATGTTTTTCTCATAACTACGTGGATTTCTCAGGCAATATAGGTGTGTGATTTGGAAATGGGGTCAGGTCAGGTGTGCACACACAGTGTAACGATGTGTTGTGGTTTTGAGTAGTTAAGAAATGATATTTTCTGTACATTTATTTTTGTATTCTACAGGGAGTCATGACACCATGACCTACTGCTTGGATAAAAACTCTGCTGTTAGTGGCAATGAATCGAAGCTGGTGAAGTTTTTAAGCAAGTGTATACCCTGCGTTGTGCACCCTGTTATCATGAAGTGGTCTACAACACAGGTAACTTGTCTAACGTCATGTGGTGCTGCAGTGCTGAGAATGGTCATGCTTAATGACCACAGTGAAAGAATAGCAGTGAAAGAATAGCTTGCTGTCCAGAAACCTGTGCTCTGATGAGATACTGTGCCTGGGTATTGTGGTTTAACCCCAGCTGGCAACTAAGTCCCACACAGCCCCTGGTGGGATGGGGGAGTGAATCAGAAGTACAAAAGTGAAAAAACTAGTGGGTTGAGATAAAGACAGTTTAATGGATAAAGCAAAAGCCACACGCACAACGGTTACTTGGGAAGACAAATGCTATCACTCTGAATGTCACCGATTTCCTCCTTCTTCTCCCAGCTTTATGTGCTGAGCATGTCTCCCTAAGGTCGACATACCCCTTGCGTCAGTTGGGGTCAGCTGTCCCGGCTGTGCCCCCTCCCAGCTCCTTGTGCACCCCCAGCCTGCTCACTGGTGGGGTGAGGAGCAGAAAGGGCCTTGACTCTGTGTAAGTGCTGCTCAGCAGTAATGAAAACATCCCTGTGTCATCAACACTGTTTCCAGCACAAACCCAAAACACAGCCCCATAACAGCTACTATGGAGAAAATTAACTCTATCCCAGCCAAAACCAGCACAATGGGGTCTGAGGTAGGTGCCATACATACCAGATCTTTTGTGGGGAAAAAGCATGTAGGTGAGGCAGGAATAATACATAGACAAAGATGTTGCTTAAAGCTGACCAGTTGGTACTAGAGACTAATCTTTTCCACATGTTTATTGTTACAAGTCACATTTACTATTACTATAATCGAAAGACATTTTTCTCTTGCACTTTTTCAGAAGGTAATGCTTGTCATTTTTAATGTCACTGCTGTGAGAGATGTCAGTTGTTTTCCCCATCTGTATCATGTAAATATTTTATCCAGCAGAAGAGACGAGTCTTGTGGAAGGGAATTTTTTTTTAAGATTTAAGAGAATGAAGGTGTGATCCCTCATATAAAGTTTAGTTAATTTTTTAAAATGTCTAAATATTAAGCTACTAGTTATCTCCTTGCCTCTCACAAATGTGGAAATTGGAGATCATAATTTAAGTGAGAGCTTTTGAAGGTTTTTCTAAAGAACAGACCTCCCTGGCATCAAAGAGGTACCAAAAATCTCTTAACTTTTGTTCTTATTGAAGGAATAGTTCATTACTAGGCAATTAAAACTGAATAATAATAGTTATGCCTAGGCTTCTTTTGTTGTGTTTGAGCAGCCTGGGCAAATTGGAGTCTTAAACAGTACCAGATATGGAATAAGTAATGGCAGTGATGAGCTGATGTGGAAAGGCCCTCGCTTAGCACAGTGCCTTGAATTGAGCTGCTTCTTGCTTTACCCAGTGAAAGATTTATATACCTCTGGACTTGTGGATTGCTGGCCACTGAAGTGACCCTGTTGGTGACAAACAAGCTCCTTGCATCGTTATAGTCATTTTGTGGGTTGAAACCAGAGTGCTGAGCAGGAAGTGGCCCGTTGCTGATGGGAAAGAGGGACGGGTGCAGTCCCACCCCTCCTTATCTCTGGGGTGCTTGCGTTATCTTTCTGAGGAGGTGACTCCACCCGTTGGCATCCAGAGCAGACATCAAGAAGCCCTGTGATGGTAGGACCCGTAGTTCCTGGATGGCACAGTGCCTAGCAGGCAGTGCCTGGCTTGAGCCCTGGCTGTTATGGGTGTCAGTCTAGAGGTCCAAATCCTTCCTGTGCAATGGCTGATGTCAGGTGTGTAACTTCAGCTCATGTCCTGGATGTCTGGTGTGAGACTGCAGCACTGAACGCTGTTGTTCTCAAGGCTTCCTCTGAAATTTTGCCCTGCAGGGACAGTGTTCGCACTAATTCAGTATCCAAACCCAGATGACTAATTAGAGAGCCAAATTTGTCTAGTTTTCCCATGCAGTCAACAGAAAGAAATTAATTCAAAGAGCAGTTCAGAGCATCTATTTCATCTCGTGCTCTTTCCTGCCACAAAGGCTATAGATGACCTACAGCCATATACACTCCTATCTCCAACAAGCAAAGATGGGGCTTGGGCATGGATCACTCCTGCAATTGCTTCAGCCTGGTGGAGAAGGCACAGAGGGAGCTGTTGGCCTGAGCCATTGTACCACCTGCACCTTGAGGCATGTAGGGCTGGGAAACAGCTCAGGCACAGCTTGGGGGAGACAAAATTCCTGTCCTTAGAACAGAAAGTTAGTTGGTTGACGATGGTATGTGTCTTAATCTCTGCCTTCACCCTAAAGCTACAAACGTGTTATTCAGGTGCAATGCCTTGTGTTGATTTAGCTCTTGTTGAATTCTTTCTGACTTAAATCAGTACTATGCATGCTTTCTGAAAGCTGAAAGTGTTGTCCATAACAGGTTGAACTGAGACAAATTAGTGTTTGAATGTATTTAATTAAATTGATTCTATTTTCTTATTCAAAGATAGCCTTGGTACAGGTAAGAGACATACCATTTGGGATTTTTTGCCCAGAAACTCATCTTTATCACCTGTTCCATTAAGGTCTCAAATCCAGTAGAAGAGATCTGAGGGAAGTGGAAATAGAGGAGGACCTCTGTTCTGTGGGAATCCTACAGGTTAATTCAAACTTTACCTTGAAAAAGAACAATAGCCAGTATTTTTTTCTATTTTTGTTTTTCTTTCTGTTGAGGATGAATGAGCTCCACAGAGACAACCATGGTAAAGTCTTTGATCTAGTAAAATAAATACAGCCTTTTTAAGGTGCTGATCCTGCAGTTTTTGTTCATACGAATAGTCTTGTGAAGAGCGATTGTGTATTTACACACAGGTTAATGGATCTTTAACATTCAGAACAGTTTCAGAGGTCTGAAACTAATCTAATCTGCAATTGCAGGGAAATTGGGATCCCTCTTGTCAGAGAGTAAAATACTTCAAATCTGGGTCTTGGTGCCATATTGTACCGTTTTAAACATGAAAGACCTCTGAAAAATGTTACAGTGATAGCTTTGTAGACCTTTTTCAGCTTTCTAAACTAAAGAAGCAAATATCCTCCAAGCTCTCAGGACCTTTGTCTTCTGTTTCACCTTGCAGGTACTGACAGTGACAGAGCAACTTGAGGCTGGAGTTAGATATCTGGATTTCAGGATTGCCCACAAGCCTAATGATCCATCTATGAATTTGTACTTTGTGCATATGGTTTACACAACTGTTACTGTACAGGTATTGTCCTTACCTTTGGTCTGACTACAAAACCAGGGCTGTTCCTTTTACTTAAGAGCCATCATAATCTGAAAATGCTGGCCCAAGGTTATCCAAGTAGGTTATTTGTTTTCTTAATGTGTGGACTTCAAACCAGAGAAAATCAGCAGGGCTAGAGGCTAGTTTCAGTAGCTTTAAGTGAGACTGGAGCATCAATCAATTCCTCCTCCTCAAAACAGAGTTGCTGTGCCTTGCTCTGCACTGTTTAGCCCCTGCCAAGTGCCTGATGTTTCTGGGGTTTATCGTATCTTGTCCCAGGATGCTACCCAGAACAATCCTATTTCCCCAGTAAGGAGAGAAGTTATTAAAGAGAAGAAGGTATTAAGAACCTAATAAAATCACATAAACACGTTTGTTTTGGTTTTTTTTTCCTGAGGAAAAAGTATTTCGCTGAGAGACAGAGAGGCTCAGGTCTGGATCCTATGATCAAATTACTGTCAACTGCTATGTAGAAACCACTGTGCGTTGCTCTTTGCTTGTGTTCTGTCACCGTGGAGTAGTTTACATCTTCCTTCTGTTTGCTGGGACCTGTACAGCCAGGCACAGCCAGCTAATGCAGCTTTTCATTTGCAGACTAACTGGCTAAACTTCAGTTTCATTGAGATTTCATGGTGACTGACATGCTCATGTAAACAGTTAAATGTAATGCCTGACTACCCTGCCAGTTATACATGGTCTTCAAGAATCTGTCATTGCCCATAAATAAATGGGGGAAAAGAGTCCTGTTATGTTTAAGCAAGCACAGAACCTTTCCCTGTTGTGAGTTTGCCATTAATATGTTGTTTGTTCTTAAAGAAAGTTGGGGAGATGGGTTTACTGCTAATCTGCCTCTAGGCAGTAAGATGATATCAGCATGATTAGTAGGATTCATAGAGTCACAGAATGGCTTGGGTTAGAAGGGACCTTAAAGATCATTTATTTCCGACCCTTTGCCATGGGCAGGGACACCTTCCACTAGACCAGGTTGCTCAAATCTACTTCCAACATGGCCTTGAACACTTAATTCTTGGAAATTACCAAAATACAAAGCTGTAAAGCGAAGTGTTCTAGAACCACATCCTGAGCAAACTGGCACAGACCTGCAGAAAGTAGGTTTTCCTGGGGTGCATCTCTCTGGACCACCTTGTGGGTACCTGGATGGCCATCTTCCAGAAACCAACACTGTTTTTCATTATTGTGATTGTGAGTCTGCCCCACCATCAATGCTCTATTGGTTTTACTTCCTTTCTCCTGCATAGCACAGATGATTTTCTAAGTTGCTGTGACTCTCTCTTGTAGGATATTCTGTGGGAAGTGTTAAGGTGGTTGGAAACTCATCCTCAGGAAATTGTTATCTTAGCCTGCAGGAATTTTGATGGATTAACCAAGAAACTACATTGTAGTCTAATTGCCTGGATAAAAGAGATTTTCCAGTGTAAACTGTGCCCCAGAGATGTAAGTATGAGATCTTTTTTTTTTTCTCTTTTTTTTAAGAATGATACATTACAGTGAGATCTTCGATTCCAGAATTTACATCTATTCTACTTCCACTGTATTTTTAACCGAGGAAAAGTAACATTTGCTGCGTCAGAGGTGTGTGTGTGTTATAAGTATAGTCTATGTTATATTTGCTGAATTTAAAGAATCCTTTTTCTGCCTTTTCACAGCAACAATTGTAAATTACTTTTTTATGCTATTTATAATAGTTTCGGTTGGAAGTGACCTCTGGAGGTTATTTAGTTCAACCCCACCATGCAAATCAGGAATGACCTCAAAGTTACACTGGGCTGTGTCCTGTTCATTCCTGCATATCTCTGAGGGTGGAGATTCTGCAACCTTTCTATGCAACCTAGTTCAGCATTTGACCACTCTCACAGTAAATGTGTTTTCCTTACCTATCTGATCAGAATCTCTCTTGCTGCAACCTGCGCCTGCTGACTTTTATCCTTTTGCTATGCACATCTGAGGAGTCTTCTCTACATCTGCCCATTAGGCATTTGCAAACAGCTGCAAGGCCTGTCCACGGTCTTCTCTTCTGCGTGCTGAACAGACCCAGCTCTCTCAGCCTCTGCTCGCTCTGGTTGCATGTGGCTGGACTCACTCCAGTGTGTCAGTGACTTCTTTGTACCGGGGAAGCTGCAGCTGGACACGGTGCTTGAGATGCAATCCAACAACTGGTGGATAGAGGGGAAGAACCTAATCTCTTGACTTGCTGCCTGTGCCTTTACTAATACAGCCCAGTTTGCAGATCTCTTTTTGCTACATGGGTATGCTTGCTGGCTCAATGTTCAGCTCAGTGTTCGCTAGGACCTCCAGGTCCTTTTCTGCGAAGCAGGTTTCTGGTCAGCTTTCCCCAGTCTGTCCTGTTGCTTGGGGCTAGTCCTGCCTGAGCACAGGACATTTGCCTTTGTTGAGCTTCATGAGGTTTCTGTCAGCCCTGTTGAGGTCCCTCTTAATAGCATCTCTGCCCTCAGTGCATATCTGGTGGCACTGACTTTCAGGAACATGAGCTGGAGCTGACCTTCCTAGCCTAATATGCTTTCAGTCACCTAAACCTCCAGAAAAGCCTTATTTTAAATAATTAGAAATTATTTGATTGCTAAATGTTAGAAGTTGAGATTTTTAGCTGCCTCTTTTTTTACAAGGTATGGGAGCTTTTAGTAGTTAAACAATTAACATTTCAAAGATGCATAGGAACAGAGGGTTTCCTCTGGAGATGTGAGGGGTACAGGATAATGATGACCCTGTTTGCGATTCGAATTCAGCCTTTGAAGCTGGTGTATAAGTAACGGGTGAGTATTACCATTTCAAAGCACTTTGTACAGTGGAGTTAAAATAGAACAATTTTCAGCAAAACTAGGGGATTCTGAATATTCAGGTCTCAGCTGAATAACTGAAGACCTGAGTGACACTGTTTTATTGTTTCCCCAAATAACTTGCCTGTGTAAGTTGCAGATGAGCAGAGAAGATGGTCAAATTTACTTTCAGAGACATGGCCAGCTCTTAAAAGGAAAACAAAGTTATTAATTGCAAAAGGGTTAAGCTGCTGACGGTAGTTTGTTGAATGAAGATGATGAACAAATGGTTTGAGATCACCTGACTGAAGAAAGAAGAGTTGTGTCCAGGGGGACGGAGGAAGGGCACTGGAGAAAGAAGAAGTCAAGTAGGAAACAGGAAGACTTTATTTCTATGCGGTCTGTGACTAGCACAATGGATCTCACCACTTTCTGGAAGTGATGCCATTGCTGGTTACGTAGCTGTGGGGCTTTTCAGGATCTGAATTCAGATTTAACATCAAATAACAAGTGCTTGCTTACTTACTCTAAAATAATCTGGTATCTACTGTCTTTCAAGGCTGCAACTCTGTCGTCGTACGGAAGTGTCCAAGCAACTGCTAAACAGGGGTCTGTATGTAGTACTGGCATAGGCCACAGCGTGACATTACATTGCATTTGTGATTTTAATTGCCTTAACTATTCAAGGTGTCTTCCTTTGATCTGGATTACTAGGGTTTAAAAATCCCTTGTTGGTAACATCTACAGTTTCATTTCTGCTTTGTTTGCAAAATAAGCACCTGTGCTCATGCACACATTTCTAGTACCTGTTTTTTTTTTTCTTTGCTCTTGTCCCACACCCTTTTTTTCCTTTTTTTTAAAAAAAATAAAGAGGTTCCAGCTTTAGAGAGGCACCTGGAGTAGAGCAGGGGCTTCCGTCAGCCATAGATCTTTGTAGTTTGAGTAGCTTGTGTCTTAATTCTGGAGTATTTTCTGACCTAATTGGGGCTTGCACTCTTTCTTCGATGAAGAGGGATTCCCATGTTCATTCAACCCTTGGCTCTCTTCAAAGATTTACATAAAACATTTTCAACTGCCTTTAGCTTTTATTTTAATTAATTACATAATTGGAACATCAAAAAGCCACTATTTCCTTTTCACAAGCAACAGACACAGCTTTTAACCACAAGATTCTTAAAAACCCTATACCTTAAATGTTGCTTTTGCAAATAAAACTAGTCAGAGGGCCTCCATTGTGTCTGATGTTAACTCTTGAGGATTGGAAAATGTAATTTCATACTGAAGTGTTTGAATTTAACAGATCTGTTTCAGCCCATCTGTCTGTCTGAGGTAGTTTCTGATTCAAGTCTTCCCCTCTCTCAATTCAAAATGTCTGGAGCATCCCAATTTCACAAACTTTCTACTCAGAGAAATCAGAATGAAGATATCTATCTCTTGCATTTAGCCTTCCCAAGTCTTAAGTAGTTCAATTTTCTTTCTCAGCTACAGCGACAGATTTGGATCTATATGGGGCATTTGACAAAACTATTCCTGCTTCTGTGTGTCTGTATTCCTAGAGCTAGGTGTAGGGCTTTGCTCCTCTCTTACCTCCTTTCACCAAATGGCCTGTGTCTTCTTCTCCCAACAAATTTTCGGCAGTGGTATGTGCACATGGAGATGGTTTCTTGTTACATGGGTGTAATATCTTCAGTTATGTACCTTACTGTGCTTGAATTGTTTGAGGAAAGGAGGAATCTGCTGAAGTTCTCAGGCTCCTATTGCCCCTGCAGCCTGCAACCCAGCCATTGACCTACTGGGTTGTACACTCAAAAGCTTTATTTGAACTGAATCTGTGCCTCCCTACCAAGGCAATGTCACATGTCAGTATTTGAACTTTGGGAACACTGCTGTGTTGTGACTTCAACCTGGGCATGGTTTCTCTTAGGTGGTGCCAACACTTAGGACCATGTGGCAGCATGGCCATCAGGTTATAGTCTCATATGAAGAGGACATGGAAGTGGAAGAGCACTGTGAGCTGTGGCCTGCAATCCCATACTGGTGGGGAAACAAAACGGCCACTCACGCTCTTATCCGGTTTTTAGAGCGCATGAAGCGGATGGGCCGCCCAGGTAGGCACAAGGAGTCGCTCAGGGGAAATAAGGGGCATGTACAGCAACACAAAACCAAACAGGAAGTTGGGCAATCATAGTGTTACGGGCAATAACCACTTTGTGCATGCTGTGTGCATGAGATGTGTCCATGTTGCTGAGTCCTCTCCCCACCCATGGACGAGTGCAATGTGCATCTTGGGTAGTGCAAATCACAGAATCACAGAATGGTTTGGGCTGGAAGGGACCTTAAGGATCATTCAGTTCCAACCCGCTTCCATGGGCAGGGACACCTTCCACTAGACCAGGTTGCTCAAAGCCCCGTCCAGCCTGACCTTGAACACTGCCAGGGATGGGGCAGCCACAGCTTCTCTGGGCAACCTGTGCCAGCGCCTCAGCACCCTCATAGTGAAGAATTTCTTCCTTGTATCTAGTCTACCCTTTTTCAGTTTAAAGCCATTGCACACGTGTATCAGTGTATGTACATACAGTTGTGGGAGCTGCTTCACTTGCGTAACCCTGTGAAAAGAAGCCCTCAGCACAGACCAGCTCACTGGTGCGGTCATGCCTGTCTCATGGGTAGGAGGCTGCTTCCTCAGTCCAGTGCTTGCTGCTTTAGGCAGTGCTGCTGATGAGGGAAATGCATCAAGGTAGCCGTGCTCTGAAAAGAACCCCCTACAAGAATGGCACGTGAAGGCTGTAGCTACATCAGGAAATGACAGTGCTCAAGCATGCTGGTGTAGTCTAAGCTGAAAGAAATCCAGTTTGTAACCTTTGATGCAACTCTGTGATGTGAACACATGGGATAATGAAGGGGAGAACTGCTTCACAGCCAAACACCCCAGCCAAAGGAAAACGCTTGTGTAGGCGTACCCCGTGTTCTCATCCCTCACAGGGGAAGGCTAAGCATTTGGAAGAACTCTTACAGAAACAAAGGAAATTTACAAAGAAGGAGATCCTTTAGTCTGCAATGATTAGCCTGGATAAATTTAGCTGAACTGGAATGGTTCAGTAACCCAGCTTGCTTCAGTAACTGTTTACTACAGCATGCAGTTGCAACAGGGGTAGACAATCCACTGGAACAGTTTTAGGGATATGAAGCAACACAGAGTGTGAAGCTACTATTTTAATGATACCCAGGGGAACAAGATCTGGAGTTAATGCAATGTCAAGCAATTTCTGTTCTACTCAAAGGAATATCTAATGTGTCACCTTCTGATTTTTTTTGTTTCAGAAAAATTCTTTGTAGCAGGGATTAACCTTACTGAAAATTTAAGGTATATTCTCCAACACCCATTTGGATCACTGAAGAAAATGACACTCCAGAGTCTTCCATGCTTGAAAATGTGGATAAAGCAGCAATATCCAGGACCACAAAAGGAATGTATTAACATCATTGCTGGAGACTTTATAGGAAACGATGATTTTGTCAAAGATGTGATAGAACTTAACACAAAAATTAATCCTTCATTACCCTGTCAAAGGAAAGGAGCTCCAACAAGTAGCATTTCATTCTCAGATTCTTTGTGAAAAGCTGAAAAGGCTTTGTCTGCATTTAATGTGTCCTGGTTCAAACATCCTAGATCCCATAAAGGTCCAGTTAACTTAAACCAGGGATATTGTAATGGCTCAGTAAGAAAAGCACTCCCACCATCATCAGGGTTTCAAGGCTTTTTCACAGAAAAGAGAGCAGGCAGACCTTGCTGAAGTCACTAGAGAACTATGGTATAGGTATAATTTACCTGGAAGCGCTTAGATTCTGTAGCAGTTGGCAATATTGAAAGTCCTGGGAACTTAATCTTATTTTATTTACATACGAGCAGAGAAGAAGAATATTTCAGTAGCTGCATGAATTGTTTTGTGATAAGATTTTATCTTTCTTATAATTGTAAAGAAATTCTGCACTACTTGCAACCCAAACTCTGTCTTTTATATGAGTCTGAAACTGACTTGTCTATTTTCATAGTTTGTGTTAAATATACAAAAGGAACAATTTAAAAATATTTTTGATTTATCAAAGATGCTGTATTGACTATCCTAGTTGACATATTTTTATATAGAAACCATTGGAAATCTAGAAGCTGTTGTTTTGTGCTGGTATCAGTTGAGCCCCTTTACCAACAGGGTAGTCACAAAATAATTTTTAAGAGGTATGTGTATTCAAACACTCTTTCTATCACCTATGCCAGTTCTGCAGTGATACAGATACCAAAACTAGACCCCTACACAGTTTCATCTGTGGTAATGAAGTATGTTTTATTAGGTGTAGCCAAAATATGCCTTACATTGAAAATAAACACGTAAGAAACAAATTCCTTATCTAAACTCAGTCTGCTCTAGAAACACATATTCTTGGCTTCTGTCATGCTCATTTGGGGTTTCACACCTGGGCTTTTATTTGTGTATTTTAATAGCTCTATAATTAATTTTCCTCTCAATAAGTAGCTTTTGCTTGTGTAAAAATCGAGGGGTTTATGCTGTTTGCCATTGCATATTAATCCAATTTTTCTAATTTTTTAAATGAACTGTGCAATAGATAATTGTGAAAGTTAAGAGAAATGGCAAGCATCGGGACTAAAACAAAAACAGGCACTGTGTAAAGTTTGCTGTGCAGCTTTATCAATATACCTCACTTTTTAGATGCACTTTATATGCAAAAAGCTGAGTTCAAATATCTGGCAAGATGTTAATGTTTGTGAAAGTTTTAAATCTACTGCTATTTGACATCTGTTGAAACTCACCATAGACTTTTCAGCATGATAGGCTGAGAAGATGCTACCTCCTCACACAATGTCTTGCAATTGCAGAATACGTATCAGTAAAAACCCCTAAACATTCCATTTATAAAGACTTTTTAAATGCTTTTTATCCTTGTTCCTTACCTCTGTGTACTTCATACTGAACGTTCTTTCAGTTCTGATTTTGAGTCACAACCTGCATGAAGTGTTCTGTTACATGTACTCAGAATGTTTTTCTGCCTATCTATCTTTTGTACTCTCAAGTGACTTGTTACTCTATCTAATAAAACCTGATCTCTCTGTAATATGGACTGAAATAATTTTGCTTCTCCTTTCTGTGATACTGATTGTTTTATTGACTCCCAGTAGTAATTCATAACTCAGGTAATGGATCAGTATGTTTTTTTCCTTTGTGAAATGATTTCACACAAAATCTGTAGTTTGCTGTAGCTTACATGTTTGCTCTAAGAACTGACACAGTAATAGCTATTGTGGATAAATTACTGTAGGCAAGAAAACTGTATGGGTAAAAGATGCTCACAGCTAACTTTATTGCTTAAATATACAAATGCATGTTTTTTTTGCTTCACTGCAATATGACATGGCAGTTAGTCATTTTACTTAGCTTCATGCATTCTACCTGAATACATACTGATCATTTATATGCAGACAGCAACATTTTGTTCAGCAACTTTCCTCTTCCAATGACCATCCAAGACACCTTAACTATAATAAATATTATTTTATTTGGAAAAAAATAAGGTAAAAAGCTTTGTTTATATTATATAAGAAACTTGGTGCTTTTCTGAAGGTTAATTCAGACGCCATACAATGATTTCCGTGTAGTTGGAGGTCCACAACTTACAGCCAACAGCTGTTTTAACATTAAAAATTTAGTGCTGTCCTTGCACTTACTGAGAGAATGAAGCTCAAAGTTCTCACTGTTTCCAAACAGAAGTTTTCTGAAACAGTGTCCATTTCTAAAATGCATCAAAAATATCAACTGGAGAAGGAATACACTCTTCAACACCCAGACTAACAGGTAATTGACGTAATTTCACATCTTCTTAATGAGATCAGTTTCTTTTCCTAGAAAATGGGATGCAGTTTCATGGCATATAGATCTTACTGTTGGGAAAGAGGTTTTTGTATTTGCCAAAAGCAGAATTGCCGATTATCACCTTCACCTTGGCTGTGCCATCTTCAGGCATCACTTCTACTTCCTGAACTGTTGCTTCCTTATAGAGCCAACTGTAACAGTAAAAGTGTATTAGCATCTTAAAGGTATGACACACTGCATAGAATGTGATCTTTATTTTAGGTCAGTGTGTTGTAACCTAGCTAATGTAACGCTTTAAAAGCTGAAGTGCTTCACTTCTCATTTGCTACTTGCTGTTTGGAAATAGGGTATAGTGTTTTCATAAACCTTTCAAATTCGTGTTTTTCTCAGCACTCTGACTCCAGGACCAGTGGCATGGTCTTTCAGGAAGTGTGTTTTATCATACCAACACACAGACCTCTGAAGGACAGTTTCAGAAGCAGACTCCAGGGTGTCTAATGGGGATATTTTTTCTCTTTGATAATTGTCACTGTAATTCTTAATGCAGACTGAGATCAATATGGTATTATTTGGAAATTTTAAGACATGCAAGACTAAGAGTTTCACATTTCTCTAAGTCTTCCTTACAATTAAAAATTATTTACCTTAGCTGGGGTCCCTCTAAATTGATGTCAACTGTCAGAATCTTCTTCCCTGTTGCTGTCAAAATTTTTTTCTCTATTTCTTCTTTCAGCTCTTCTAAACCATGTCCATGTAGAGCAGAAATGGCTAATGCATTTTCTTCAGTGGGTTTATACCTTAAAAGTAACAATTGCACACAAGTTTGCTCATGAAGTTTAGTTCGTGAAAATATTCCAAGCATGCACAATTTAATCGTGCTACTTTATACTGGCACATTCCTACTGAGTCCACTTCTTGTATGACTCAAGTGATTTATTTCATGATTAAAGGATAATTAATTATCTTTTAAGACCATAGTTACATATGTAAAAGATTGAGAAACACTATTAAATGTGTTCATAAATGTGGGAGCTCTTTTCTAGACTAAGGATTAAAAATCTTTCAGAACATAAGAACTGTTTAAGTACACTTAGCATCTTCTGCTTACCTTTCTATCAAATCCACTTTGTTATGAACTTCTACCATTGAGTCCAATAAATGGCTGGGAAGATTAAGATTCTTCAGAACTGACAGAACGGTTGCTTTCTGGAGGATGGTTTCTGGATGGGTAATATCCCTCACATGAACTATAAGATCCTAGCAAGCATCAATATATAAGACAGTCACTTAATAAAACACATCAGTTACCAGGTTGTAGAGATTTTATACTATATACAACAACCCTAAAACAAACCTTGTCAATCAAGCTAGTTACAGAATTCAGATTTCAAATAATAACTGACCCATTTTTTCAAAGCTAAGGCTGTGTAACAATAAAGCTCAAAAATACTGGGGAAGGAAAAGAGTGAACTCGAAAATGGTTTTAGGAGTAATGGCTGAAAAAACTGTTTCAAAATGGGGGGGAAAACCCCCAAATAATTTGTAATTCTGTTTCTACACTCGAAATGCAGAAGATTATCCTGATCCTTAACTTCTGAGATAGTACTATTGCTGCTTCACTTAGAAAGCGTTATATAAAAGTTACCAGTTTCAAGTACATACACAATCATGTTTGCTGTGATAAAAACCAAGCAACCAAATTCAATATTTGCATTCACAGTGTTTCATCCTCTTTGCTAAGAAACTGCTTTAAACTTCTGCAAATCAGTGAGAAGTATATTTCATGCCTTCCTTTCATTTAACACTTCAAAATAAAAACCAAACAGGATAGTTGCAGACAGCTTTTGAAAATCCTATTATTACAGGATGAAGTCTAATTCTCAGCAGTATTCCAGCATGTAGCTACACCTGAATTTCATTTCCTTTGATGATGCATGCTTTTTGTTTAAATGTCTGTGTATGCAGCTTTACACTTTGCTATAACACAGGAAACTAACTTTAATGAGAAAATGATTGGAAAAGTGTATTTATGTTTATTACATGCTGCCTGCATCACATCACAATCACCCACTTACAGTGCCACAGGAAACCTGAAGTTAAAACCAGATCATTCCAGAGGCTTTATTTCATTTCTAACTCCTAAGAAAGCTAACGTCAAATTAGTCAGATGCAGTGTTTAGGTTTTCAGATATTTAATCAGCAAAGTCTAAGTTATAGGGTTTACATTAGTGGAGAAGGACACATACTCCAAAAAAACCCATTCTGAAATCTCTTCATATCTATCCGTTCTGCATAATTTCAAGTATGAGAAAATGGGCTTATGGTGAGATACCTCATTATCTTAGGAGCCTACTACTAGTCAGTCACATGCTTCACTAAGAACAGTACGCCAATTAACTTACCCTTTTTTTGAAGGGACAAGGATTATCTAAAAAGAAATTAATTTGATTTCTCAATAGTCAACTTTCTTATAGTCTGCTACTTACTGAGTAAACCACTTCTTCTAAGGTAGCTGAAAAGGACTCAACCAGATTGTGTGGAAGATCAGTCAGAAATCCAATGGTGTCAACATAAATAACTGCCATATGTGAGGGTAGATAGCCAGCATGGGCTGTAATATCAAGAGTGGCAAACAGCTGATCTCTGGGTTGAATTCCTGCTTCCCCAGTCAAAGCTTTGATCAAAGTAGTTTTTCCTAATTGAAGAAAAAAAGACAAGATTTTAGTGGCTTGTTTCAAGTAAAAATTTAATTTGCAAGGCTCAGGTGAGTTGTAGGATGTAACACACCTTTTCAGATCTCTTTAATTTAAATCTAGCCTGTACTTCCCTGGAGATGTTCAGGAGTCATCTGGATACAAACCTGAGTAATGTGCTCCAAGTGACCCTGCTTGAGCGTGTAGGTTGGACCAGATGTTCCCTGAGTGGTCCCTTCCAACCTCAACCATCCTGTGATTCTGTGATTAGTTATCTATATGATGTTACGAAATCCAAAGACAGTCTTAACTTTTGAAAATTGGAATTGGATTTAAAGCCACAACTGGAAGCTATGCTGTGAAATTACAAGATGATCAAAGACTGAACCGACCTTCAAAGTGACCTACCCACATTTCTCAACTCTCAGACTATTGAAGAGCACTGCCATGACAGCATTAGGAAGCATATGCTTACACACTCCTCAGTGCTTCTGTTGTCAAACAATTCAATATCTACCTGTTAAATCCAACAATAAGCAGAAGCACTAATAATACATAGCTTACTAGGTTTATGCTTTTATTGGGCATTTCCTCACGGACTTAATACTAGAGACATTTATTTAACTCAATAAATATTTCACAGAATTTAGTCATTAAAGAGCTCAGTATATACCCTGGTTGAAGTATTTCAATTATGTGTACTGTATTGTAATATATATATTTTTGAAACTTCAGTTTTAAAAGTATGGAATGGGTAATGGGTTCAAACTAAAACGGGAAGTTCACGTTAGATATAAGGAAGGAGTTCTTTACAGTGAGGGTGGTGATGTACTGGAACAGGTTGCCCAAAGAAGTGGTGAAGACTCCATCCCTGGCGGTGTTCAGGGCCACGCTGGACAGAGCCTTGGGTGACATGGTCTCATGTGAGGCATCCCTGCCCATGGCAGGGGGGTTGGAACTAGATGATCATAAGGTCCTTTCCAACCCAAACCATTATATGATTCTACGAATCTATGACGTAAAAATTAGTACAAGGTAGGTTTATTTTTATAAAGATGTTAAATAAGAAAATGAAATGGTCTTATGATAATGTAAGCTGAAAAAGTATCTAGTCCAAAGGCTATTTATGCCTTGTGTATGAAGCTATAAAAGAATAGAAAAAAACTTCAGCTTGATTGACATTCTTGTATGAGGAATCTCAGAACACCATACATCAATCGATGAAAAGCTACAGTGCTTCTTAAGCACGTTTCCCAATCAACTGCCAAGTCTGCTGAATCTTCGTCCTGTGCCTCAAGCCTTCACAGTGATCCAAGTACGAACACACTTTTCTCTACCCATTCTGACCAAGTAATAGAGATTCATATAAAGGGACACCGGCAGTACAATCTTCAGCACTATATATAAGATCTTTTTGGCACAATAGGCACTTGACATTTCTCCAAAACACATCTTCAAGACCAAAAAACCAAAAGAACTAACTACAAAAAGCATAATTTGCTTTCCTAACTATACCCTAATTGACACATATTCATTACACAATTTAAAAACTAATTAAAATACGAAGCCTATTCACACTGCAATGAGATTCTGGCTAGACATTCTTATTAAAAACTAGACAATGTAAGCTCTTTTGTGTTACCGTTTCACGAGTTTTTGCTTACCACAATTAGTATAGCCCATTACTGAGATAATTGGAAACTCGCGTTTTTTGCGTTGAGTTCTAAGTAAAGACCTTTTCCTCCTTAGTTTCTCCAGGGCATTCCTAATTTTAAGTTCTTTTTCTTTCAAGATACGATTTTGTGTCTCCATAAATGTTTCACCTGAAAAATACAAATGAATAATTGGCAGAACAGTCTACAATAGAAACAGTAAACCAAGTGATGTTGTGCATTTGGAAATCAGTAAGTTAGTGCTAGGGCATCTGAATCTATAAATAAACAACTAAAACTATGTATTCTTGCCTAAGAGTCAGAGTTACAACTGATTATTAAAATAGATGCTAAGCACTCTAGAATAACCATGTACACTTATAATAAACCCCTGTGGCAGCAAACAGTCTGTCCATGGCCACTTACTGAGCCAGTACAGACCAAAACTTTATTTTTTGAGTTACTTTCCAATAAATTTTCGTATGTTCACTTAATTAGATGCAGAACACAAACAGTTTTATCTCCTGGCCTTCTCCAAATGAAATAAGATGCAACGAATATTGTTTAAAGGCTATAGAGAAAATAAATCCTCTAATTCATGAGACTTTACCTGAGCCCATGACATATCTTGATCCACCTCTCTGCTGATCTAGCTGAGACACCTCATTTTTCAGATTTGACCTGGCAGTGGAGTAACAGTCAATTAGAAGCAATTTTCTTTAATTTAGTTATCCTAAAATGCCTAACAAATGTGAAGCAGTAGCAATATTCTAATAGTACAAACAAAACCACCAAATGACAGAGCTTTAAATAAAACCTGTTTGTGGTAAGAAGCCTGGCAACAGATTTCCAGATTTTCCTAGCTTCTCAATGTGGTTTGAAAAAGCGTGCAACTCTTTTAGCAAGTTATAATGGCTATTCTGAAATTTCAGAAAGCCAAAGATGCCCCTAATGCATTCACGCAACTCACACCAACTGCCATGTACAAATATTTCTATGCCACATAGTATAGAAATGTGGAAAATTCAGATACAAATTAATGCTTTTAATCTTCCTTGTTTATAGTTTTCCTTATTAAACCTATTAATATTATGTATGGGATACACATATCCAATTCCTAGATATTCTTGCAATCCATCTTCCACATTAGAGAGATCTCTTCCTAAGAAACATATTTTGTAAGATTATCCGTTAAACACTTTCTGGTTTTGCCTATCAGCAAAGCTTAAACAATACATGACAGCAAATATTTCTGTGCTCTAATCAATCATTGAGCATAGTATGCAAGCATTGAAACTGTTATTTTTCTTTATGGCACAGTATTACAAGTTTTGTTACTGTAAAGAAATAGTCACTAGAAGATGTGAATATGAGTACGTGATCTGCACAGCTCGAGGTACCTGAGAAGTGGAATTTCAGCCAGTGCTATCTGAAGTTTTGCTTCTTTGGTCAGGGCATTACAACGAAAAATGTGAAGTACAACCGTGTATCTGTCAAAGACTTTCACACCCCAGGCATCTTCTAGTTCTTTCTTTAGCCATGTAAGACAAAATAACCTAGATGTTTCCTGTCGCCCACATTATCAGTAGATCAATTCCTACATAGCACTACAGTTACAGTTAGCTGATGGACACTTGAACTTAGAGGATTTCAGGATTTCATTTCAATGGATGGGCAAGAATTATGAGCACACAAATGCAAAACTGGTTGACCATGAAGAAAGGTGATAAAGAAAGTTTAGAAGGAAGAACTTTATGTCTAGGCCTATCAAGAATCCTTCCACTGCCTTCAACAACCTTCTGACAACAGCTCTTAACAGCGTATCTCAGAATCAAGAATCTCAGTGGTTATGTCCTTGTAAAAAATAATTATGAAATGATGGAATAGGAAAGGATAGGAATAATATAGGAAAAAGAAAAAAAATAATTAAACAAACAAAAATTATAGAAAGCAAGGCAGAAAAATTACTCCTAAGCAGCTTTTCACAACACATTAAAAAACTCCAACCAATGAACCAAAACCCAAACAACCCCCTCCTCCCCTTTGCCCTAATTCAGCAAAAGACACTTAAAGTAGTGGTAGGACAAGGGGTAATGGGTTTAAACTTAAACAGGGGAACTTTAGGTTAGATCTAAGGAAGAAGTTCTTCACAGTGAGGGTGGTGAGGCACTGGAATGGGTTGCCCAAGGAAGTTGTGAATGCTCCAACCCTGGAGGTGTTCAAGGCCAGGCTGGACAGAGCCTTGGGTGACATAGTTTAGTGTGTGGTGTTCCTGCTCATGGCAGGGGGGTTGGAACTAGCTGATCTTAAGGTCCTTTCCAACCCTAACTGTTCTATGATTCTATGATTCTATGCTGTAGCTCCCCTCTGCTCTCTCTAAAATCTAGAATGCTTGTTCCACACACATTCTCAAACACTTTCTTGAATTAACCCCATTAAATTGCTCTTAAGATCTAGATTTGTGCAAGAAAAACTTTTTATCAAATGTAGTACTGCAAGAACACATACTATAAATTCGGGAATAACAACTAGGAAATTGAAATGAAATAGTTTCAACTTATATTTTATCAATAAATTGAAGTGCTTGAAATAACTATTTATTGCAGATATTTACCATCTCTCTTCATTTGATAACCAGGGAAGACATTAAAAACTACCAGCAAAGCATTACGTTTGCTTACAGATTTTGCATGCATTTTATACCAAGCATGATGCTGCATATGCAAAAAACCTAAGAAGTATTTATTTCAGTTTGTCTAAGCATTTAAAAGAGCATCTATAGTTTGTGCACCAGCTGTCTGACTGCTAGTGTTAAAAAAAAAAGTGAAGTATGCTCCTCCCCCCATCCATGTAAAGTATGGTTTCTATTCAAGGGTTATGAATGAAAGTTTAAATATTTGAAACATTTAAACATAAGCTTGCTCTGAATTTACACCTAATATTCAAAATACAGTAGAGTGTCCACAGAACTATGGGGAAATAAATACACTATCCATGTAACTATAGAAACTTGTGCATATAGCTAATCCAAAATGTTGACATTCTTCATAACAAAAGCTGGGCTATCACCTTCAATTTGTGACAAAAGACCCTGAGTAACTTTTCCAAAATTTTAAGTGGGGCCAGGAGTTCATGCAGGAGCAGAGTCTATACCAAATGGCTATTAGATTGCTGGAAAATTTCATGCACGAGACCTGGAAAGACATAAACATCTACCAGACAAATGTAAAAGGAATTAAGTTTCCTTTCAACAAAATTCAGTCCAGGTGGCTTCATGTATTACCACTTCCAAATTCAGTCATAACTGACCCTACTTTTTGTAAAATCAATAGCTTCTGAACAGTAGTGATTTAAAGAAAATTATTTTATATTCTACTTAATTACCTTTGTTAGTGAAGATATTCTTTCCACATTCAAGAAGACAGCTGTCACTTGGGGCAATTTTTTAATCTTTTCTAAAAGATGGATAACCATTGCAAAATACAGGGTTAAATGTCAGTTCTCTTTTTAAAATTCACAGAATACAAAACCATTTTGCACTGAGCAGAATGCTCATAAAATATCAAATGGCACCATGTTCTTTGCTCACAGAACAGTTTAACTGCAGTAGTTTAGTACTATGTCAAGAACAGCCGTGTTTCACTTGTGTCAATCACATGAACTCAGGGATTAAGTTGCCTCACGTTTTCAGTGATCACAGGTTAATTCTATTCTGTACTTGCTTTTGTAACCTTAAAAACATTCTTTGAAGCTTTCTGCAAACCTGCATGATGGATGAACATTCCCCCTCTCTTCAGCTTTCGTACCTATCTTTAAACAGCTCAACTGCAGAAACTTCCATTTAGAATGCTGCAGCACTGAAAAATTTCCATCCTTACCTGTTAAAACCTGGAAGTTTCCTTTGCCAAAAACGAATTTCTTGTCAGGATTTTTTGTAGGAATAATTATTTTATCTAAAACCGTCCAGTTCTGAAGGGTATCTACAAGAGCAACGGCTTCAGCAATCTGCAATTCAGCTTTAGGAATACAAAAAAGAAGAAAAAAAAACCCATTATATTTTTTATATAATATACTAACTTTGCTCAGATTTGCAATAACTATAGTATGTGCATAAACAGGGAAATTTAAAGAGTAAGCTACACCAAAATTCTACAAGGCTATTTATATTAACCTACTGCATAAGGAGCTAAATGTCTTGCCTCTAATCAGAGATGCAATTTTATCACACAAAGCATCTTTCTGCCAATACAGATTTTTTCTGTGGTTGTTGATCTAGGGGAATTTTTAACTGTATTGTCAGCAAAGAAATTACCAAGCTTTTTGCCTCAACAAGTGAAATAACTAACTAGCTGGAAAATAAATTCTGTTATTTTCAGATGAGCACAAACCCATGTGATTAATTCCTTTGTGCATTGTGGCAATATTTAAAGAATTACTAATATGGCATATCCTGCTGCTAACTTTACTGCTACTTTTTCATAAAGGACTTACACTGATTTATGACTTGATAAAGCCAGCAGATTCCTATCCTGTATTCTGGTTCATCAGTCACCTTAAAAAAGAACGCATCTACGTGGCAAAGCACTGATTTTTGAGGACTTTGTGAAACTGCAAACACTACATGGGCATATCTTGGAGGAGAACAAGCTGTCCACGAGCCAGTGATGTGCCTTTGTGGTCAAGGCCAGTATCTCTTGGGGTGCATTAGCAAAAGCATTGCCAGCAGGTTGAGCGAGGTAATCCTCTCCCTTTACTCTGCCCTGGGGAGGCCTCACCTGCAGTGCTGTGTCCAGTTCTGGGCTCCCCAACAAAAGAGAGACATGGAGCTCCTGAAGCAAGTCCAGTGAAGGGCTACTAGAATTATTTAGGGTCTCGAGCATCTTTCATGAGGGAACGCTGAGGGAGCTGGACCTGTTCATCCTAGAGAAGAGAAGGCTCAGGGGGGAATCTGACCAATGTGTGTTCATTGAGGGTTTCAAGAGGATGAGGCCAGACTCAGTGGTGCCAGGCGGTAAGACGAGAGGCAGTGGGCATAAACTAAAACACAGGAAATTCCACCTGAACATGAGGAAAAACGTTACTGTGAGGGTGACTGAGCATTGGAATAAATTGCCCAGAGACATTGTTCAGTCTCCTTCCCTAGAAATATTCAAGACCCAGTGCTGAGCAACGTGCTCTAGGTGACCTTGTTTGAGTAGGGAGGTTGTACCAGATGACCCCCGATGGTCCTTTCCAGCCTAAACCATTCTGTGATATCACATCAGCAGATCCAGTTTTGATTTCCCCCACTTTTCCTCTTTTTGTAACAATTTTCCAAGTTCCTCTAGATAGCAAAACCAAATCTATATATTAAATATGTTACCTTGGTCTAAAAGGTAATACATTTTCAAAGATAACCACAATCCTCTTTCTTCTCATATTGCTAGTGTTCCTTGTAAGATGCACAGATTTCCTGTTGTACCTGTGGTGTTTCAACAATCAGTCCAAACCATTTGTTCAGACTCTTCATCTGGAGGGCATAAATAAATGGAAACGGATCACTGCTATTCTTCTGCATGTCTGGACAGAAAGGTGCCTTCATATTTTATTTTTCAGTTGTAAAATGGGACTGCTTATGTAAATTTGAAAAGGTTACAACCTTTATTCTGCAACATGACAATTTGTTATGACTAGCAGCACTAAAAAAACTAAATGAGATTCAGGTTCATCACATAGTAAGTTGGAATACAACAATAAAGTATCATGTATAAACTGTCTATATACAAAAACCTAACTTGAGATGCTTAATCCTTTTCATTACAACTTTGTAATTAGAGAAGCATTTGGAGGAGCATACAGTTAATCATATATCTTAACTGTGCATGATTAATACCTATATATTAGATAGGTACAAGGATTTCTGAGAGAAAACCTAGGAAAACCTACTTTCTGCACATCTGTGCTGGTTTGCTCAGGATGTTCTAGCACACTTCACTTTACAGCTTTGTATTTTGATAATTTCCATTAATTAAGTGTTCAAGGCCAGATCGGACGTGGCTTTGAGCAACCGCTTCTAGTGGAAGGTGTCCCTGCCCATGGCAGGGGGGTTAGAACTAGATGATCTTTAAGGTCTCTTCCAACCCAAACCATTCTATGATGATGACATGAGAATATTCCTGCTCTACAGCCAACTTCTGCGTAAGCCTAAGATTGCACGACTTCTGCCTGCCTGGCCAGACAGCATGGCTGAGGTCTCAAGGCTATTAGCGTTCTGCTAAGGGGAAAATGAGCCTGTTCCCTTAAACAACCTTAACAGCCCATGCACGGAGTCCTTATGCTGTCCAAGCCCCAAAGCTAGCGTGATTTACAAGTCAAAGCACAGATCTGCCAACACTCACCAAGAGCGCAGTGTCTCTTAAAAAGTTATCCAAGAAGAAAACAGCCACCGAGACCTTTTATCTGAGTCTGCGTTTCGCTAGCTGACCCAGACAGCATTTCTGTTTTACCACTGCAATAACGGATTTACTTCACGCTACTGGTACTCATTCCCTACAAGTACTCCTGCGGGCCGCAGAGGTCTAGAACGGGAGAAAACCGAGAAGCGGCGCGGCTGGCTGGGGGG